GCAACATAGTTCGTCCGTCCGTCCGTCCGTCCGTCTCTTGTCAACTTCCGCTTCAGCACCAAAGCAGTGTAACCTTCGATTGGATCGGCCGCTGGAAACCTCTCCTCACACTTTCCGGCACAAAATGTAGAACACAAAAATACAAGCAACAAACCCTATTTGATTGGCCATCGCAAATTGCACAAACATACAAATGCACAAATATATATATATGTATGTACATCCTACAACATTCCTATCATTAATATTTAGTCTTTTTTCTACATCTGCATTATTAAATGATTCCGTAAATCCCTTATTCAATATCCAAAGCAGCAATATTATATAGTCATCGGTCTTTAATTAAATTTGATCGGGAAATATATGGCTATACCTTAAGACTCGTTTCTTCTATGGCAGATACTACAGATACTCCCTCCCTTTGAAAACTTAAAGGCGTCCAAGGCACTCGCATCTTAAAGTTCCTGAAAAATAATATTGTTCTTGGCATATATAAATTTCCTATAAAAATATATTGTGTAGAAAACATAAATAAATACATGCTACACACGCACGCACTACCGCCCTCTATGTAGACAACATTGCAGCTTCCCCTACTGAGCGCCAGGTGGCAAAAACAATGTAGCCACCCCCGCGGAGGATACAATTTTTATAAATTCATGGCATGTTTTGGAAAGAGGTGAGTCTGAACTTGAATGCGTTGCAAATTCCACATTGCGGGCGCTTTAAATTACATATTACATCATTTAAATTATAAAAGAAAACATCTGTAAAAGAGATCCATATTTAAGAATCGTTTTCATATCAGTCCGATTAGTCCGGCCAGCGAATACCATTTCTGGTGAATTTTGGGTCAACTGAAAGTTTTAAACTTGCAAAAATACTTCGAATGCATCTACGCTAGATAAAATAGTTTAAAAACAAGCAATGTCCTATTGGAAAATATTTGTATAAAATCGCATTACAATATTTTAAGAACATGCTTAAAACACTGCCACATTTGGAGATCGCATAGAGGGGCTTCCATTTCAGTTCCAGTATCCAGCGGATACGATGTCTCTAGCATCCAGCGGATATGAGAAGTCCTGTATCCAGCGGATACCATTTATGGCTAATTGTGAGTCGATTCGCAGTTTAGTGTAGCAAAATACCACATTCGCCTACTGAGCGCCAGGTGGCAGAACAATGTAGCCACCCACGCGGAGGATATATTATTTCTATATTCATGGCATGTTAATGAAAAAGGTGAGCCTGAACTTGAATGCGGAACAATAACCTGTTCTGGGCATTTTAAATAGCATATTCATCATTATAACTTTAAAAATCGTATTAAAATCGTTAATAAAAACATCTGTAAAAGAGAGCCATTTTTATCGATTTCAAATCAGTTCATGTAGGCAGCGTATACGATTGACAGTTTAATTTTATCAAACTAATACACATGCATCTATTTCTACAAGTTCTACTATTAAAATATCTAAAATTATAAACAAAAAATATTATAATAATCGCACAAAAATATTAAAAAACATGCAGGGTCTTGTTTGAGAATCTTTTGATAAAATCGAATTAAAATTGTTTAAAAACATGCAGTGTCTCATTTGAGAATCTTTCTGTAAAATCGTTTAAAAACATGCAGGTCCTCATTTGAGAATCTTTTGAACAAAAAGTTTAAAAACATGCAGTGTCTCGTTTGAGAATCTTTTGATAAAATCGAATTAAAATTGCTTAAAAACATGCAGTGTCTCATTTGAGAATCTTTTGATAAAAGCGAATTAAAATTGTTTAAAAACATGCAGTGTCTCATTTGAGAATCCTTTGAAAAAAAAGTTTAAAAACATGCAGTGTTTCATTTGAGAATCTTTCGGTAAAATCGTTTAAAAACATGCAAGTCCTCATTTGAGAATCTTTTGAAAAAAAGTTTAAAAACATGCAGTGTCTTATTTGAGAATCTGTTGATAAAATCGAATTAAAATTTTCCAAAACATGCAATGTCTCACTTGAGAATCTTTTGATAAAATCGTTGAAAAACAGGCAGTGTCTCATTTGAGAATCTTTTGATAAAATCGAATTAAAATTGTTCAAAACATGCATAAAACAGTGCTAAATAGGGAAAAACAGGGATCGCATAGAGGGGCCTCCATTTCAATTCCAGTATCCAGCGGATACTATGTCTCCAGGATCCAGTGGATATGATAAGCCTGTATCAAGCGGATACCATTTGTGGTTAATTGTGGGTCGATTGGCTGTTTAATTTAGAAAAATACTACATATGCATATACTACTTTCAACTCTACCATTAAGATTATTAAAATTACAAATAATATTATAATTTAAAATAATAATAAAAATAAATATCTTAAAATAATCGTTTACAAACGCTTAATCAGCGGTCTGATTACGCTCTGAAAGCGTAGCAGCCTTTTCTAAAGGAATTAGCTCCGATGTAACCCAATCAATCATACGAGCCAACTACTCCAAAACTCTTTCTAGAATAAACAAATACAGACAAGTGTTTCTGGCGTTGAGAGCCAGCCCTACATGGGTAGAAAGTGGGTGTCTACGGATGGAACCCTATGTGGCAGTAGTAGTACACCCAAAACCAAGCTCTAGCCTGTCACACGTACACCTGCTGGAAAGCTCCAACGCGCTTTCTTGCCCCTGTCGCCCTTAGCCCTAAAATTGTGAAAATTTTCAAATTTTCCTATATACATAGTGTGCCAAAGCCCGATATTCATAAATAAGTCACCCACTTTTAAAAATAAATCTTAATAGATCCTCCCATAATGTTTTATAATTGCGTAGAACAGGGTTGGTACCCGAGAGGTTTGACCGATCCAGCCTATTATGATTAACTATTAGCTTTTTAACTGAAAAATAAAACATTCACACCAGTAGAAATTCAATGCTCAAATCCAAAAAATGCAAAGTGAGGGAAAAGAGAAAATATAAGTACAGAAAATATAATCACAGAAAATTGGAAATAGAAAAAAACAATACTGCGCAAAGTGAACCAAAATAGAAACACTCACCAGTTCTCATAGTTCAAAAGTTAAGCGTTGAATTTTACTTGTTGTTTCCTATCGTTGCGTTGAATATTATTATTTGGCAATCTTTCACATGCATTCAGGCGCGCTCACACCACACCATTCGTCTTTCGATTAAATTAAACGCCTTGAATGCGTGATCGGACGGGAGGCTGCAAGCATTGATAACACTGCAGCAGCGGCGAGTCAAAGCTCCGCCATTCGCACTTTTACTCATTTTCCCATATAGCCTGGCACTTCTTGTCCACAGTACTTCTGCTACCTTGTACTGATTGCTTTTGATCTCACTTTAACACTTTCACTCACATTTTAGCCATTTAGCCTTGTACTGCCTCCCGCTCTTTATATTGCTCTTGCGGGTAATTTTTGTTTCACTCTCACCTTCATTCACTTTTTGCCCATTTAGCCTGCTTGCACTGCTTATCGCCTCTTATTCCTTGCTGCCTTCATCTGCTTTCTCGCTTCCATTTGATCTCACTTTAACACTTTTTGGCTATTTAGCCTTTTATTGCCTTCGACTTTTGTGGTACATTTTATTCACTCGCACTTTTATAAGCTTTTTGCCGCGCTTTGCCTTACACTTTTCACTTGACTTGCATTAAGACGCGCGCGAGCCTCTGCACGCACTATTAAATTGACCGCTCTATTGAGGGAGGCGGGGGAACTGCAAGCTGTGATAAAACTGCAGCAGCGTGGGCGACTCAAAGCTCTGCTTGTAGTGTCTCTCCCTATCTCAGTGATAAGAACGAGAGCGAAAGTCAGTGGCCGAGTAAGAGCGTAGCGTATATGTATGCATGTGTAGGGTAGATCACGTCGCGAGATCTATGATTAGAGCTGCAGCAGCTTGATTGGGTCAAAGTGGGTGGTGAGAGGGGAACAGCAGAGCAGCGTGGGCGACTCAAAGCTCGTCATCCTCTCCCACAAAGAACGAGAGCGAAAGTTTGTGACCGAATCACAGAGTAATGTAGGTCAAGGCCTCTCCCTCTCTTTATCTTTTGCTGTTAGCTCGCTGCTTAATTAACATGCCGCTGTAAAGAAACGGGAGAATTTGTTTTATCTCTGTTCGCTGTTAGCTCGCTGCTTAATTAACATGCCGCTGTAAAGAAACGGGAGAATTTGTGTTATCTCTGTTCGCTGTTAGCTCGCTGCTTAATTAACATGCCGCTGTTACTAAACGAGGGAATTTGTTCTATCTCTGTTAGCTGTTAGCTTTCTGCTTAATTAACATGCCTCTGTAACCGGCCGCAAAGCTAACATGACGTCACTCATTTTTTCATCAGTACTGGTACAAATTACAATAACAATATGGCTACAATAAAGCTAGCAAAACTGGCTGATAGAAACTACCCACGGTGCCTGATATGTACATATGTACATTCAACCATTCAAAGCAATCATTCCAAGAACTCAATCATCAAGCGCAGGCTAAATACCGAGGCCTCATCCTATATCAAGGGATTTCTTAAAGTACGCTCGGCTGATCGGGACAAGACTCGCCGTTTGAACTTGGTATACTACTCGCAATCGAGTCTTGCCAGAGCAAAATTCTCATCCATTCGTGCGAAGCAAGACCATCTTTCGCGATCCCAATGTTCAATCAGCATCCGAAAGCAGTTTTAATGGGGACAAATCGTGGCAAGATTACAAAAAAGTGTACACCCTATAGAATATTATAATTATTATTTGGTCATCATTCCAGTCTGCTAATAAATAATTCATGATTGAAAAGATTGACAATTATATCACTATTAAATATTTATTTAATGTAGCAAGAGTCAAAGTTCTACAATAAAATCAGTTTCAATATATCTACCTTTTTAAAAACCTTAGACATTAGCAATATTGTTCATGTATATAGTTGAGGCTGTGATTATAAATACAATTAGGCTAACAATAAATAATATAAATAAATTATTTAAAAAAAAATGTATTCGCTATTCTAAGTATCATTAAGGCAAACGTAGGAAGGGTTCATGTGCAAGATCCTTTACTTTTGATAGTTATACCTGAAACGAAATAAAATAGTTTCAATAATGCACAGAAGCTAATTTCAAGACCTTCGAGGTATTCACTTACTTATATTAAGGCAGGACGAATAGCACTCTAATTGAGTTTCTCCCGTATACATGTATCCGTCGGATCCACAAACTATCTCGTCGTTTTCATCGTAGACATTTGCGCATATATTTTCACAGTAGCTTTCTGTAGCCTTTGAATCGTCCTGCGAATTCGCAACACCTGCAGTTTGGATTTGCGATTGTTCGCTTTGTTGCTGTTGCTGAAAAGTATAAGATCAACATTATAAGAAAACACAGTTCGAACGGTTTATGGGCTAGTCGAATCCTGTCTTGGACGTTCTTCCTACCTGTTTCGAATTTTCGGTGTCGGCGCTGTCTTCTACATCGTCACTGTATTCCTTGATTGGCTTGGAGACCTCGGCGATTGGAGCCGGAGCTTGGACCAGGTTGGTTTGGTGCGGTGTCGAATAGACTGTTTCGTAGGTGTACTTGTGCCCTTGCGGAGATTGGGTGTAGCTTATATGTCCTCGAATAGCATCTTGCTCGGTAAATTCAAACCGAAGGGGTTCTTGGGTAAAGCCTTTGTGGCTCTTTTGGAGATTTTGGTTCCTTGGCGTTGAGGGTGGGGCTGGTGTCGTGGTTTGGGCTGCCATTGGAGTTAGAACCACATGCTTGACAGCCTTGTTTCCGTCAGACTTGACCACAAACACATCCTGACCGGCTTGGTAGCTGCCGCGAACAACAGCCACATTTGGTGGAGCGGGATCTTGGTTATAAAACAGATCCGACACTTGGATGGGCTCGTTATAGCTGGATGAGAGACTATTGTCTGTGGCAAGATGTTGATTTTGACCGCCCCCATTTACCGGATAATGGCTCTGCGGCTGTAGCTGTTGCTGCTGTTGCTGTTGCTGCTGCTGCTGTTGCTGCTGCTGCTGTTGCTGCTGCTGCTGTTGCTGTTGCTGCAGTTGCTGTTGCTGCAGTTGCTGCTGCTGCTGTTGCTGAAGTAGTGGATATTGATGGGGATGCTGGATGGAGATGCCGTCGTGCTCAGCGTCCAATTTCTTATAGTCAGGATCGCGTTTGGGCAGGAAGTACTCATTGGTGCCCATGAAGTGCAGGTAATCCTGGGCCTCCTTAGAATCTATTTTCGGTGCAACTGGCTGGCGGAAATTGCCTTGGTTTTGGGGAATGCCTTGTTTCGGAAAATGTTCCGACTCTTCGTACACCGAGTAGCTGCTGTGCTCCTGCGGAAATTGCGCTTTTTTCATGACGGCCTGTTTCGATTGCACCGGACCGTAGTTTTCGGGTGGGGCGTAGGGCTTCGGATAGTGCAAGTACTGGGCGGACTGTACGGGAATCTCATGCTGCTGGATCGGCGTGTATGCTGGGCCTGGGTTCTTTTGTAATACATTCACATTTCCATTGAACCGGTGGGAGGCCTTAAAGTTCTGTATGTACTGCTCGGAGGGATACTGGAGAATACCTTCTGGTCGAACGAATTGGTTCTTGCCCACATCGAGCACAGCATCCTTGAAGTGGGCAAATCTCACGGGCTTGCTGTTATCATAATGATATCCCCTGTGCTGTGGGTTGTTCTCGATGAACGGAAAGTTCCCATTCTGCTCCAAGCCCATCAAGTGCGGTCCTCCTGGTGGTAGGGGAGATCTCAAGGTGTATTTGGCTGGATATTTGTTTTGTGGAGGAGCAGGGCCGTCCGAGCGTGCATTCACGCGATGCAGTGGAAATACATTGGGTCCTGGAGGCCTGCTGCGAGTGTGGGCAAAGTGCTTGGATTCGCCCAAGAACTCGAACAGCCGTGCGTTGCGCAGAAGATCAGCGTCACTCGTAAACTCTTTGCCGCTGTTGTTGCACTGCACTCGCGAGAACACGCAGGCACTCACAATGAGTATCGTTAGAAGATTGTTCAGTATTTTAATTACGCCTTGCGACATTTTCGGGGCTTTGGGGGAAATTACTCAAAAAAAAACAGAGCTGGTTCGTTGCTACGCGACTTGATTCCACGACGGTCTATTGATATTTGACATTTCTCAGTTCCGCAGCTGCTTCGAGATCTTTTCCGAAAGTAAAAAGCGGAATTTCTTTCAAATTTTACTCGTATACACACACGCACACACACACACACAGAAACAGAAACAGACAGGAAACTTTCGGACAAGCATCTTTAGCTCTATCCAAACAAGTTGATCTCACTTTCTTTGTTATCTTAGCACCGCCGTCTAAGCCGAATGCGCGATGCGATGCAGCTTTTGCCTAAACCTAGGTCTCAATACTTAGTTAACCGTTCGTTATTTAAAGAACCGCTAGTCGATCACAATATCACAAAATAAAAAAAAGTCAATAAATCCAATCTTGCGATCCAATCATCTCACTTTCTTCTTCGGCTTTGATGGTGTCGCGGTCGTCGCTGGCTGTGGCTCGGACTCGGAGGCAACTAAGTTTACAAGTGGAACATTTCTGAACCAGTCCATGTGTAGCTCCAAACCTGTTTGCCATCGTTACCACTGGGGCAATGCGGCTTGTTCGTCGCCAGCTTGCACACTGAGACAAAAATGCTTCCATTTGAAAGTGTGGCACAGTGGCGTCGATGCAAAATCAATTAGGAAATGCAACCGCTGGAGCCGAAGCTCTTAATACCCTCGTCTGCGAAAATTGATCACTGAAAAGTATGGATGGGGCCTCTTTGGCTATCATAATGCCATACTTATAGAGATACGTATTACGTATCTACCCAACCAGCAAGACTCTATCTTGGACTTGGTTCTAGCAGTAATAACTTATTGTACGTTTGTATATTTGTTGAACGTAATGCTTATGTGCTATGAGACCCGAGCTTCAGTAATATGTATATGAATATGCGGTAAATATTATTCATTGTTTGGTAATTGTTCGTCTTGTTGGAGAAAGTAACATACAGACCTGCATTCATACACATATCAAAGGTTATTCATTTGTATTAAAGCGAACGAGTACAGGTTTTAGCTAATCAGCGAATATTTGTACTCACTTCGGAGTCGAAAAGTTGTTCATTTCCTTTATTATAATTTCGATAATTTATGCATTCTTCAAGCGTAAGATAATGAAAATGAAAATGAACTATAATTATAGATTATAATGGTACAACTTTCGTTTTGGTTTGGCAATTTGGCATTGGTTTCTTTTAGGAGAACAAGATATAAAGAAATGCTGGTTTCTATCATTGTCATGCAAAACATCTTAGAAACTGTAAATCGTTAATGTGTTCATTGATAAAAAGCCAGTTAGTTTCGGTCTTTGAAATATTATAATTATCTGCATCTTAAAAGCCAACGAAAGGTTTATCTCGATCGTAAGCACACGATGTTGGTCTTTCTCTACGCTACTCACGAGAGTTTTGTAACTAGGAAGTTTCCGTTTTCATTCTGTCTGTAATAATAATTATTATATTTATGCTTTAGAATTATATTTATATATACATTGGTATTTGCCTTAAAAATTCCTAATCCCTAATTCCTTATCCTATGAATAAGAAATGATTAAGGAGTGAGCGTGCATTGGGTTTATAAAGTGCAGTCAGAGTATTATCGTAATCGTAAAATCAATTACCCTATAATTAAATAAATTATGTATTCTAAAAGATCGTTTATGTCCTAATATATTTGCTTATTAATAGAAAAAAATTACATAGGAGGGAGATCCTATGTGCAAACGATAACTGAGAAGATTCCCAGTATTTGGCGCATAATCCATATAGAAATCATGTGAAGGTTGTTTTCCCAGTTCGTTAGATCTAAAAAACTATATTGGAAGGACACTCAAAATTTTCCATTGTAATCTTAAAGTCTTACATGTTTAAATGCAAGTTTCCTTTGAATCTTCGCCATCCGTTCGGGCACTTGCACTATTTTCCAGTACAATCACAATATCTGTTCTGCTTATTAATGTGGAGTCTGCATTCTAAAAATATAAATTATTAGTAAATGCACAAACAGTTAGTAGGATCATTAAAATACAAGATTCTGCAGGCAAAAAAGAAAGTCTACATTCGATCAATCCTTTGGCAGGGGATATATCATAAAGTGTTTCAATTTACTGCTAAAGATACCACCATGTATGGTTATAGTTATGAATTATTATAAATCGTAAAGTGATCAACAAACCCAAAAAAGAGATAAAAGAAAGCAAACAGATAAAAAAGAAAGACAATGTTCAAAGAAAAAAAAGATAACGTATTAGGCACGTTATCAAACTTAAGATTTTTGTTTGTATATTTACCTTTGGTAGAGGAAGGCTATATGTTTTCTTGATTAGCACTCTGTTCGAAGACATAGAAGCTGTTTCGTTAGCGTTATCATAATGGCTAGATCGAACGTGAACCTAAAAAATAAGTTAATTGTATAAATATATGTAAAAGGCGTTGTGGCAATCTTTATAATTAGTTGTCATCAGCTCTAATCCAATCTAAGCCAATATTTGGCATTGGTAATCAATTCTGATCAGCACTCTATGAGATCTTCCTGCCAAAGGACCGAATGGTCGAAAAAGGGATGGGACTGGAAGGCCTAAAGCGGCTTAAACTCTTAGTACTCAATCTCAATAGACTTTATCTAGTGTTTTTTAGTTTTTAGTGTTTCAGCCCCCTATCTCCCCTTCTACGGAGTATATACTTCAGTATGGCTCAGAAATATCGTCTAAATACTGGTACTTACAGATTGGACACGGTCGTAGCCTCTTTTGTTAGTTGTTGCCGTTGTGGGCTCTCGAAAGCTCGAGCAATCCCGTGCGAATCCACTGTTGTAGTAGGCTCCCACAGGCTTGCCACAGAGTAATTCCTTGAATGCCACCCGATAGCGACGTGACATCACACTGTATACGATTGGATTGATGGTGCTAAGAACAAGTGCCGTCATTATAGTGACTAGCTTATGAACTCTTTATTATTTGTGACCTATTTACCATGACACGTAGTATGCGAATCCAGCGATAGAAAAGAGCCATTCGTTTATATCTTGAAAGTTTTCGATATTCTTGGCGTACAAGTACCAAAGTCTTTGAATGTGAAACGGAAACCAGCAAACAAAAAATGTGACGACAACAGCGGCTATTTGAATCGAAATTGTCAATATTGGTATGTGACTTATAACATTTTTCAAAATCAATAACATCTCACCCAACATTCGTATGACTGTCTTTTTTTTCTTTTGCGAGTTCCTTGCCTCTTGATTAATGGTCCCATGGCGAACACCTAGAACCAAAGGTATCGTGTCAGATTTACAGCAGTATCGATATTTCGTATAGTACTCACCCAATTTAAGTGTGGCTCTTGAGCGAATCTTGGCTCCCATGCGCCCGTATAGCAAAATTATAATGATCATGGGAATCACAAAGAACACACAAAACGATAGCTCGAATATGGGTAGGATATTCGGAACCTCAGGAGACATTGAACAGAAAGCAGACTCCGCTATGGGTGCATTATCTGTAAATTGAGAGCAATTATCTGACCTGATCTCCAGATGCAGAATTTGCACATACCTAGCGGATAAATGAGATACTGAATGTCAGTGAGTAAACCAAACGGTATGGCGCTTAGAAAACTTATAATCCACAGCGCAGTTATGATCCGCATGGCACGCTTGAAGCCAACCATTGCATACAGGTACAACGGATAGCAGATGGCCAAAAAGCGCTCCATGGAAAAGGCAACGATCGTAAACACCGACACATAGGTGCATCTGAAATGTGTAATATGTATGGGCCTGTGGTTATGACTGTGCTCATTAGAACTGTGCAACAAACTTTTGCCAGCCGGATAATGAGTCTATGTACTATACTTACGCCTCAGATATGAATGCTCGTATCTTGCAGAAGGTCAATCCAAACAGAAACGGATACTGGTGCCAGTACAGAAATACTTCAGCGGGTAGTCCTGAATGTATTGATGTAAGTCGAAATGATTGGTGATTATGAAAGGAGAAATAGCATATGTTACGGGAATCAACTAACCGAAGAGTAAGTAGAGCAGATCAGAAACGGCGAGACTGAAGAGGTAGTAATTAGTCGCCGTGTGCATTGTGGAATGCCGTATTATCACTATGCACACAAGAAGATTTCCTATGACACCAGTTATAAAAACAGCACCGAATATAATGGTAATCTGAAATTTTGTATTAAAGGAAAAGTAACCCATTTTTGTTAGTTTTCAAATAAACTTTAGTGTCACTAAAAGAGTCCTCAATCGAATGGAGGTAGGAGGTAGGAGGGACTTACCAAAATCGCCTTGTAGAGTGGTAGCGTCTGTGGACCCAGAACAAACTCCACGTATTCAGAGGGTGAGCAGTTAGCGGTGAAGCAGCCGTACTCCTCTGCTTCTAGGGCATGTTCTGGAGCCATGTTAAAGCTGGTCGCGAGTATCTGGTTTATATTGTCAATACTCTTATTGAACACCATACTGCTGTTGGCCTCCGGAAACGGATACTCCGTTGCCCAATCCATTTTGCTAGGAATTAAATCACGGCTTTCTCGGTTTTCACTCTGTCCTAACCGTATTCAAGAGCGGATGCTGTTGAAATGAGTTTAATAGGGTAAAAGCACATATGGCGAATTTTTTAGAGAGAGATCCGATCCGCCTATTCGTTATCGTAATGAAACTGCCACTGTATCTTTTAGGTGCCTTCAGATTACTGTGCGCCGTCAAGCGATAGAAAGATAAGAAGGCATGGTTTTGGCTAATCTGTAGATACATTTTACGTATGTATGTACGCGTGTGCCTGTTCTACTATATAGATGTTATAAATGTAGATGTGTTTATTCTAAATTAAAAAGATATGAAGTCGCGTTCATGCCGCAGAATGAGTAATATTTTATATTTACGTCAAAAACAATAAAATTTAAGTAAATAATTTAGAAGACAATGGGCATTTAAGTAAAAACAATAGATTTAAAAAGAGGAAATGATCACACAGCGTTTCGTAGTTATAATTAGTCCATACTCAAGCTTTAAAAACTCTGTCAAACCTCTATCGTTCGATTTATTCAAATTTTTTCCGAGACACCAATAGTTCCTATGACAACTAATGTCTAACTAACTGTTTTTGGGGGGTGTAGCAAGAGAGTTCCTAGATGGCCATACATTTGCACATGATTATGCATACGAAGAAGAACCGCACACCGGCAACCATTACTTAGGTAACAGGCAACAGCGCACAAGTTGAGTAATTATGAACACATGGCTAATGCACCCTAATGAAACCATAAATATTTTCACGCTTCGCTCCTTCTGTGCGGTTTGGCTGAGACTAGCTCTCAACGTGAGCATATGTATGTCCTGGATCTGTCGCTTCATGACACACATCTGTCCTAACCGATACTTTTCCCCGAGAGAAACTTTAAAATAGATCTTAGGGCTCGATGGTTTGGGGATTTGAATTCCCGAAAATAATTTGCACCTCTATCCTCGTATGATTAGCCAATATTACTCTGAACTGAACCGGATAACTAGAGTATATACTAAGTAGTTAGCCGTCAGACAACTATATAATAAGGATCCGACATCCAGCAAATCTTAAAAAAATTAGCATATTAACTTCAAAAAATATCAAAAAATATTCCAAACTGGTTTCGAAACGATGGGCTAGAAACGTCAAGTCCTACCTGGTCTAGATTGCTGTTGCGAATTATTTATATTCTTCATTTTATACACACACATTTCCATACTCGTGTTTATCATAGTTATTTCTTTACATGTTTAAAAGCGTATTTAGAAAACCACAATCTTAAGGCTTTGCACTGTCACAACCTCGTAATTAGTCCATCAGATATACATATATGTACATGTTATTCTTCATTTGAACAGTTTGCTCACATGATGCACAGCCCACAAGAGGTGCAACATAACTGCTGGCATATCAGGAGGACTAAAAGAACTTGACCAACAAGACAACTAAAACGGCACGAATTTTAGAGATAAATAAGTGCGCAGGCGTTAAAATCCGACTCTTTCTGTTACGAGCTTGGGGATTTCAGATTTATTTGAGAACTAAATTCATAAATAATTGCAGCTCTCGAACAATGAACTCCTTCCTAATACTCCAACTTTGTGCATGCACGCTTGCTTCGTCGGCAAAAGAGAGAATTAGGAATACCTAGGAAAGAATTGGCTCTTTGCTAAAGCAACAACTACGCACATCTGTGTGTCACATCACATCGTTCCGATGATTCAAAGAGACTGTAAAGTTCTTAATGAACGCGGCATTGAAAAGCCAATTAGAGCTGAAGTTTCCAACTCTCTTTTAATTCTGTTAGTTATAATTCTACATAACTTGATATAAAGCGGACAGATATGTATGTACAAATGTGCATGTGTCACGTTTCTGTCGTCCTATTGGCAGGTGACGGTGGTGGCCGCTTAGAATATACAAAGAGTGTAGCATTTAATATATTTTCTAAGCATTTTCTAAGCCCTCATTCATCACACAACAAAAAATATAAAAAAGGATGTTTATGCTCTGAGAATGTTTTGGCCGCATAAAATGATTTACTGGTTTACTGATTACGTTCCAATTAACTTGGAGATTCGTGATGCTCTCTATGAACTAAATCAGTTTGAAAATGGCAAGGAGGAATTACACGATAATAGCCGGCTATTCAAAGGAGACAAGATTAAAGCATTTGAGCAACGCCTTATTGTGGTATGATTTATCTTCAATGTGCATGAGCGTTCAAATTCCCAAGGATTCTGATTCTGATTCATTAATGGCTTCAGGTTGACGATAATATCAAAACCTGTTGTGGAGAAGAGCTAACACTGTTTATATCTGCGAATGAAAAGCTGTTGGTCCAAGTGAAGGAAAGCGACCCAGAGTCACGAAATAAAGTTCAGAACAAGTCATGGATTGACGTGGTTTTATTGAAAAAATGTCTGAGGTGACATCATTAATGAAATGCTATCTATTTCATCAAATTGGTTACACTCATCTGAAATCAAATCGCTTTGATGAACACTGCTTTCCAGCTAGAAAGGGCTTGGAAGGTAAGGCTTCATCCATTACTTATATTGTAATGATAGCCATATGTATGAACTGTAATAACTTGATATGCAATTTTCTGTGCACTCTTCTCATTATTAAGTCCAATGCAGCCCTCCACAAGGTTGAACGGACCAAGGAAGCACTGATAAGGGCTCAAAAAATGATGGACGATCTTGATTCTCCTCAGATTTCTCGTTTTGTGTAAGTTTGTATAGCCTGCAACGAGAAAGAATTTAATATAGAGAAACAACGCGGAAACATACTACCTCCTTCAACATCTTTTTTCGCAAGCAGTCAATTGGATACATTACCTACATTAAAAATAGCTGAGCTTCCCTAAATCGAACGACTGTAACTTGAATTTTCTACATTTGTCTACATTTTGAACTAAAACGGATGGCAACAGCGTTTAGGGAACAAATCACGTCCAATTCTGTTTCCGTAACTCGAACTTCCAAAAGTCGAATTTCTTTATGGTCCGAATAAAAATATTGACCCTGCATCTTGTACGTCGAATTTTTAGAGGGAAACTCCAATTATGTGCTATTATATGCTTCAATAACATTTATGAAAATTTAAACTTGCTGTGGTTAAGATTAAATAAAAGAACTTCAAGTGCTATTGGACATGACAGTGCTACAACTACATCACAGTTTCTTAAGGATGACGACATTATTTTAAGCATTGTAATCCCGAATTAGGGGATCCGATTTAAATCGAAGCGGAAAGTGATGAAAGTTCGGTTGAGGAAACTATGTATGCGTCAGCCCTCCAAGAACACCTTGCAAACTTTGAACTGAAGATCAACTGGAATCTCTTTTTGTTGAAAATACCAAACCAAAAAGTGCCGAAACGAGCGGGAATGTTGTGAGGCGCGGCAAAGGCCGCTGCTCTACTTTTATAGCCTGTACTCAGTAACCTATGTGCCGGAATTAGTATCGGATCCGATGACTGCCTCATGCTCTATCATTCTCTCTGTCTTTTGGTATCCCTGCTCGTAAATCGAACGAATTGATTTGTTGGTTAATGTGACGAGGATGTCTCTCCGAGATTTTTCTCAATTTTGTTAGCACTTGTGAGAGATAGAAAAAACATAAAGAGAATGAGAAAAACCACGACCGCTAGTTTTGTTCTAATATTAATTCTTGCAATTTGTTTGTTCTCTTTCCACCTAATGACCTATTTGATTAAAATAGGTCAAAATATTTTATCTGTTACCATTTCTCCGGTAGTGTTTTGTATTCCGCTACATCTGTCTCTCTCTTTCATTTCTCTCACGAACACCATCCGCAAAGGGTACACACTGCACGAAAAAGAGTGTGAGAGGAAGAGAGAGAGAGAGAGAGAGAATGAGTAAACGCGTGGAAGGGTTTCGTAACTTTGGCACATTGATTTGATCCTTGTGGCTATTCGAAATATCCTAATTTTCAATGATTTTGGAAGCCACAGATCTTTGACCTTTTCGTAGAGGGGGCATTTAAAAATGTAGAAATAAATAATGTATGATATCACAGAAATCTGCCAAATTTTGTGGCTGATATAGCTGTTATGGTCTCTGCGAAGTAGGATTCGAACAAGACGGACGCATGGACAGACAGACATGGCTGACATGACTCGGATATTGATGCTGATCAGGAATATTTGTACTTTCTAAGGTCGGAAACGCTTCCTTCTGAATGTTACACACACACATCCAATCCACCACAAAAGTAATATAGTTCTAAAATCTTCGAGTAACGAGTGCGCTGTGGACCGATGGCAGGAACCTTCTCAAAATATTGTTATTTACTAGCTGACCTGCTCAACCTTGTTCTGCCAATAACATTATCAATATTCATTTCGAAGAGCAATTCAGTGTGAGTCCGTTCTTAGCCAACATATGGAAGCAGGCTCGGTGGTTTTTCCCACTGGAGAACATGAACAACATAAATCTTTGATTTTTATCATTCTGCAATCCAACATCTGACGCCAGTTGTTGCACTTGATTTCGGAGACAATATGCATCTTTGATTTGAAGAATTTCAATAATTCGTTTTGCTCATTCAATATTCATATGCGCCTGACTCTTGTCGATATATGAGATTGGCGAGTGCGCGTTCGGGATTTACTCGATTGAGATCCTCACCGCCCATATTAGCACATTTGCATAAGGTTTGAACCTGGATCCCTGCCGATGGCCGATGAGTTCTGTTGAGACAACACATACCGGGTGACTCATGTTTGAGCGCATGACAATGGTCTTTGTCCATAGCACCAATCAGCACTTTTGGATGAGCGGAATATTCAATACCTGGGTCATACTCGAATGCGAGACGAAGCAGATATACATAAATGCACTACGTACTTGTTGGCCACATGCAATTGTCCTTGTTGGTTTCGTAACGCAATTCGTAATTGCGACATCGGGATGCCAAGCTTTTACAGTCACAAAACACGTAACAATACACACACAAATAGATCAAAGCAAACTCGATTATGTTTTTACTTTGTACGGGATATTGTTCATAGAAAAATACTAAAATCACGATTATAAAATGGTGGGTGGTGGTAGGAAGGTCAGAAATAGCTAACAACTTATTCGCATACCCACTAAATATACAAACCAAATTTAATAAAAATCTGTCGAGCCGTTTGGGAGGATTTGTTGCCCCAACACTCTTGCAAAAGATTTTTATACATCAGAAAGCAAAAAAAAAATATCCCAGGATAGGTCATGGGACCCTTGAAATTTACGTTTAATTCAAACTTTCAAATTTTCAAATTGATTTCCATCATTATGTTATAAGTACTCATTCCACACACACATCAAAATAACTAAAAAACACAATACACAATACAAATAAATTTTTAAAAAATATAAAACCAAAAAAATGACGTCAATTGTTCCGAGTCCTATACCGGCGGCAGGAATTGAAGATGCCATACCAATATGGATGAAAATTGATTGGAGTCCTGAAATAGAGCATGACATCTACAAGGACTGGGGCTCGTACTACTCTCGCCGCCGAAGGGAGAACATGGCCATGTACTATTACAACAAGGCACTCTCCATGCTACCAGAGGATTACGGGACTCTTTACCACCGGAGCCAAACTAAACGGAAGAATGCCCAAACTGAAGGCGCTCTAAAGGACTGTGCAGAAGCAAAAAGTATGTTCATTCTCTGAGAATTTGTTGCCCGCAAAATATGCTACATATATAGTTTACTGATTTACAGGAATTTTGCAGCGACTCAATATACAAAACGCTCCAATTAATTTGGAAATTTGTGATGCTCTCTATGAACTAAATCAGTTTGAAAATGCCAAGGCGGAGTTACATGATAATACCCGGCTATTCAAAGGAAACAAAATTAAAGCATTTGAGCAACGCCTTATTGTGGTATGATTTATCTTCAATGTTCATGTGCGCTCAAATTCCCAAGGATTCTGTTTCATTAATGGTTTTAGGTTGACGAAAATATAAAAGACTGTTGTGGAGTGGAGCTAACACACTTTATATCTGCGAATGAAAAGCTGTTGATCCAAGTGAAGGAAAGCGACCTGAAGTCACAAAATCAAGTGCAGAACAAGCCACTGTGGAAATTATTAAAAGAACAAAACAAATGCGATGTGTTAAGTATCCTTGAAATCGAAGTATGTGTAAATCTTCTGTACATTCTTTTTAGTTCGCCTAACATGATTCCCTCTTAATTCCTAAAAGGACGAATTACTTTCCCCACTGGAAATCGCAAGACGAAGTCGGGCATTTAATGTGTTTAATCAAATTTACATGGACAAGTCATGGATTGACGTGGTTTTTTTGAAAAAATTGCTAAGGTAACTTCATGTTAAAACTAAACAATTGATCATCTGATGATATCCACTTTCTTCAGGAACCCGACTTTGCTTCTTGAACAGTGCCAAAACTCGAAATATTTTTTGGGAGCTCTAAATAAAAAGAAATACGAGGAACTAAAATTGTTTTTGGTATGTACGATGTGTGCTTCAACAATCGCAATTGGAATTATTAAAAAAATGTACATAAATATTTCAGAAAATGCTTCATGCACGTGCTCCCATGTACTATCTTCGATACAACAAATTCACGAACCAGAATCTGATGGACAAATTTCGGGAGGACTATCTTTTCCGTATGCAGTACCAAACAGGTCGTAATATGCGTTCGGTGTTAAGGAGTATTCGATATCTCCGTGCCGTCGGTAACGTGGCGGTGAGTTTTTATTTTTTCCTAATTTTTGGGAGTCCTTAAGGAATGTCATTATTGCTGTGTTCAGAAACTCTCAAAGTACGTGGAGGAGGTTATGGGAGACTACGTTGTGTTAAAAACTAATCGGATTATGCCTTGGAAGTTTGAATTTATGAACGAAGTGTACAACACATTGGCGCTAGCATTTGCTGAACAGTGTATAGTCCCTCCCGGCAGGAGTCTGTATGCCGACAAGAATGGTCTTTTAAAATTACTTCGCCTTCCCACCGAAAAGTCGTGGGATGTTCAAAATTTCGTGTTTGGAGACCGCTCCACTCATCAGGAGTCAAATTTGTCAGATCTGACTATGTCAAAATCGAGGTAAGAGTTTCTACCCAACAATACATCCACGCTACTACTGCAGAAATTCGTAATTCTCAGACAATTGATATCTCGGTTGGAAAAACGAATGCTGTTTGCCAAATACTCTGTCGAGAAATGCTATCTATTTCATCAAATTGGTTACACTCATCTGAAATCAAATCGCTTTGACGAATGCTGCTTTGCAGCTAGAAAGGGATTGAAAGGTAAGGCTATTACTATCTATTACTTATATTGTAATTATAGCCATATGTGACTTAAAAACTCATTATTTTCCAGAAACTAAGAACTGTAATAACTTGCTATGGAAGTTTCTGTGCACTCTTCTCATTATTAAGTCCAATGCAGCCCTCCACAAGGTTGAACGGACCAAGGAAGCACTGATAAGGGCTCAAAAAATGCTGGACGATCTTGATTCTCCTCAGATTTCTCGTTTTGTGGAAGTTTGTATAATCTGCAACGAATTGATAATAGATATAAAGAAGAAAAGGGGAAGTGTTGGAAGCCGGCGTGCAACCCCTGCTACTAGTCGCAGCAACATGTCGATATTACCTGCAAAAAGTTCAATCCACCTGCGACACACATAAATTTACTTACTTTATATAATATATATCTAAAATTTGATTTCCGAACGCTGACATATTAAAATCCGAAGTGCAAATTAAACAAAAGCGAAGTTTTGGCTAGCCTCGGGTCCAGATTTTTTGGATGCTCGTTCAGATCAATCGCTCCAGCTGTAGCTACGCTTGAAACCAATCGTTCCTATGGGAGGACTAGGACAAGAACATGCCCTTCTAAACAATAATGAAATAGTGTACATTTTTCTTGAACTCTTAATGATGGTTTAATTTATTTCTCGATATTTTTAGTTAAGTTAGGATGAGGTTTTCTCCACGAGTTTCGCCATCATTTTTTCCTCCTTCGCCTTACGCTTAGCTTCCTTCTGCTTTTTCTTGTCCTCCTTCTCCTTTTGCTCCAGCATTTCCTTAAATCGTTCATCACGAGTATCCACCTTGAATCCAAAATGCCTGCGAACCTCCTCCACCAACCGCTCCTTTCGCGCTATCGCAGCAGCAGCTTCTGCCTCGCGTTTTGCAACCTTTGCATTCAAATCAGATTTCCACTGCTCTAGCTTATCCAGTTTCTTGGCTATGTCTTCATCGCGGTCATTAGTCTTTTGGATTTTCTCTGCTTTCTCAAGGCGGCTCTTTTCCAGTACTTTAAAGAAAGTGTCCAGTTGCATAACTTCTTGCTCCGCCTTTGAATCAAAGCAAATCTTTGGATTTACGTTACTCTTGGCACCGTACAGGCCATAGACTTTTCTCTGATATTTCTCGGTCAAGTGTATCCAAGACTGCGCATCCCGATAAGGTGGAACACCCATTACAATATTTTTATGCTGTTCTTGTAAGCCAGATTTATTGAGTCTCCGTGCGTGCACAGAGCTATCTTCCACATTTTCATTTATGATCGCCGCCGGCAGCTCCGCAGTCGCAGTGCTTGTAGATTGCAAACGTAAAGGAAATGCAGAAAGTTTCTGCACAACGTTTATTTTACGTAAATTCATATTGCGGTATCTGTTTTCACAAATTTTTATTTATTTTTATTTGTTGAGCGTGTTGACAAGTGTGACCGCGGACTTATCGATAAGATATACGGTCTCAGAAAATATACCGAAATATACCTCAAAGTTTGAAAATATACTGACATATTCCTCGACTTTAACATAATTTTACCCGATTGATGAGTCACTTTCCTACAAGACTGGGTAAATTTAATTTCTCATCTCTATTATATTGTTTATAAAATAAGGTTTAATTACATGAATTAATTAACTACATTTTTATGTAATTGTCAAAAGCGACACCCGTGTTTTTCATATAGGCCCCATGGAAGCGCCAGTGTGAAAAACATTCGTTATCCACTTTTTGCCATTTATGAAAAAATTGAGATTTTGATGGCAAACGATCAGGAGTACGATCCTGATCACTAATGTTAGTTTGATGTGGCCTGGGAAATGGCCCACGATTTCTACATGTGACAATGTAAAAATACTGCAAAATTTTAGAAAATACTTAGAAAAGTAGAACTATGCAAGGCTTGTCAGCTGGACATGTGAAATCTGTAAAGCAAATCAGTGGATCGCGGGTCTATCGATGAAATATACGGTCTGAATGACCCTCATAAATATACCGAAATATACCGTCCCGTTTTCAAAACACACAGTAAATATACCGATGAGAAAGCCAACTTAGCCCACCCTTTATTTAAACAGGTGAACAACTGGAGTTAAACCGCGCAAAATAAGTTCGCAATGGAAATGGAAAACAATATTCAAAGTCCACAGAGGCGTAAAGAATTAAAGGGAAGGATGAAATTCGTTCATATGACAAATTTCGTGTAAGTGATCAGCAGAAATGAACTCACATACGCGTATTCCACACACACAGTTGGTCTTAGCAGAATATTTTTTCATTTGGCAGGCCCTACAAGGATGCTTATTATCCCAGCAAATATCGGAATGTATTGACTGGACCCAATGGCAGTGAAAAGTCTGCAAGCAAAAAGTCGCAGCAATAATGACAGGACTGGGCGGCGAATAATAATACAATACAATACAATACTACATACAAAGCTGCGAGACTAAGGCTTTAATTGTTGTTAAGATCGTCGCGTAATTTCTTCCGATGGATCATTGTCTTTTTATGTCCAGAATGTGAAGCAGACAAAGAAAAACTTCCAGACCAATGTGGCCTCTTGCAATTTGCAGGGCGGCAAAGAGTGCCAGGACCAGGTTTACTCGGTAGAAAGAGATGCGTTCCAAGCACAACATTGCCCATTCTGATCGCGAAAAGGATAAGATAAACTTTCAGAAGAAACAACACCACTTGGAACTTTAGGCTATCAAAACTTCTAGATTAAAGACGTACTTGGCTCTATATCAAGAGCGCGAGGAAATAAATCGAAATCGGAACATATTGAAAGTATAGAAAATATGGCTTGAGGAACAATGGAGCGCAGAAAAGGCTGATAAATATAAGGAACAATTTGCTAGCAGAAAAAGCAAACAGCTTTACGTTGACCTCGCGTTGCATTTAATAACATTCCATATTTATTCCACTCCACCCATTCATTGAACTGCAAAACGAAGCAGAAGCCTTGTAGAACTAGTTCTTGCATCGTCGCACAATGGGAAGACAATCGAAGCCTATATTTCTGCCTTATACGAAGATGAAAAACTAAATTGAATAACCTAATAAATACGACCAACATTAAATGTGAAGAATTCATGGAAACTATGGACAACGTGGGAGAGATAAGCCTGTCCCACTCAAAAAGGTATAGCATTCATTTTGATATACATATAAATACAAAAATATGATTGTATTATATTCAGTTCGTGCCTGTTAAATTTTCGTAAGACTAACAAATATTTTGGGCTTTTAGTTCGACTTCGACACATATAAAATATGGCAAGTTCAGTCAATCTGGTGAAGGTCGAACAGTCTCCATAGCAGTAAAGCAGGTAATTAATTGGCAAATAAAATCAAAGCAAATTTTTAAAACAATTTTTGTAGATTCGTCGATTAAATTAATCAAGGAATGGGCTCTACAAACTAACGTCTATGTTTCATCTACTCCTAAAGGGAGCTACAAAGCCTGGGTCGGCTCAATACTTTTTTGTTATCCCAAAGGTACGAGTGTTTGAACTTTATTACAAAACTTCAGTACTCAGGATGTACATTTTTTTGAATTTTCGTCGTCGTTGAGCTGGATAGCACCAACATTTGTGTGGCACTTCTTTCTGTATGGAATATATTGATAGGGGTTTCCACTCCATTGCCCTCTCGACTGAACTTACCCTTTCTTTGTTTACCTTGAGAAGCAATCTCTTCCTTGACATCAAAATTAAGAAAGCCGATAATAGAAGCCAAAAAAATATAGCTATTCTGTTTTCTTTCCATATTTTCAGCTGCTGTGCGATCTATAATGAAAAACTGTGCGTCGCGGACAGGGTCGGGAACCATGAAGTTTCCTGGAGAATTGATTAATGATTAAGTTTCATTATTTTTTAATCTACCAAAGAAATATGAGTTTAAAAGACCATTAGTATGAACTATTTATATAACAAAAGCCTTAAAAGCCTTAAAGCCTTTAAAGGCTTAAATCCAAGCATTGAAAAGTCCCCGATCTGTAAGGTTGGTCAGTGAATGCTGATAGTACTGGACGCGGGCCCGACCATGTTAGCGTCTGTTTATCTTAGTGAAATAAAGCAAGATTTTAAGGTACAATTGGTTAAGTGAATTTGTATCATCTCCAAAAACCCGAAGAGTTTTTCTTACAAAGAATTCCCACGTCTAGCTATATTGGTATTAATAAGTAAACTGATTTGACGCTCCACTACGTGGCCTATGAAAGTCTGAAAGATAAAATGAAATGCAATGATGCACAACATTTTGCGTACTTGGGCTTTACATTGGCTTCATTTGAAGATTGTAGTAATGCAACAATATCTTATTACAACTTGAATTTACTTTTATCTCTGCCTATGAATACTTGATACGATCATGCTTTATATACTATAATAATTACAAAAAAAACATGATGTAATTGAGGATTTCTCAACGGTAACTATAAAAGATGATGTAAATTTCATTCAGTTTGTCAGTTAAGCTGCAAACGCGAGGGTCAACTATAAGACGTGTAAAACTCAATTGGAATATTTGTGTGCACCCATTATAGTTGGGATTTTTTAGATCAGCAGTTATTGCTATACAGCCGTATTAATAAATCTTCTACTGGCCTACTAAGTCCCAACATAATGAGAGTAAAAACCACTGGCTTAACAATAAGACTATGTTAAAATGAGTGAAGTGCAATTAGATATATTTATGTATAGAGCGCGTTCTTGCTCCCAACATTTACCGAGTCCATGTAGCCATGTCTGTCTATTAGCAGCAGAAATAACAGGAGGAGCACCCAAAAACCCAAGGAGAGATACTCCGGCAAAATGGAAGCACTAAGGCCAAGCCATTTGCCAAACAGAGCTGCTGCAATTTTTAAGGGTTTCCAAAGAGTAAAGTTTATTCAAAATGTATGTATAGTTGTATATAGCCATTAAAATAGACAATTTATTCATATTTCAACTTGTGAAGTTTCATTTGCAGTTTCTTGAGTCGACACTGACTTAACGCGGGCTTGCCTTCTGGGAATGTACTTTTTAAAAAGATAGACCCGGCTCTACCGTTCTATTGTGCGGGGCTCCAGCTGTTTTTATCTCTCGTTGTGCGCATGTGGTAGATTTTTGTTGCAGTCCTTCTTAGTTCTATGTATATTTTTTGTCTCTCTCTTTTTCATTTCATTTTATATTAAACTCTTCGGCCGTTCAACAGTTATAATTTTGCCCTTGTTTGGTTTAATTCTATTCATGAAATTTGTGCTATTAATAAATAATAAATCAAATATTAGTAAAAGTTCAGAACTCTTGAGTTTATTTTTATATGTACTATATATTCTTTTATTCCGCATCAATAGCTCCCCCAAGAGATTTATAAAGTGAATTTATTTTTCATTTGATGAGTTTGCATCGTTTATTTCATTCTAAAGAAAGCCATAACCAGCTTCAACAAGATTTAATTTATAGGACTTGAATTTTTGTATTCCATTTCAGTAATATTTCAATTCCATACTGGTCACCCGCGACCATTTACTGTCGTCACCATTCGATATATGCTATCGATATCTTTATATTCTTTATGTCGCGATAAGCCCGCGGTAACACTGATTTGCTTTCCAGCTTAGACACCATGTCCATGTCCATGTTTTTCGTGGTATTTTTTTATATTTTCTTGTCCAGTTCACCAATGTAGAAACCATGTAGAAATGCCATTTAAAGCCATGTCCCAGGCCACATCGAATACTAACTCGTGATCAGCATCGAATTCCGTTTGCCATCAAAATCTAAATTTTTCAAAATTTCGGAATAAGGCATTTAAAAGAAAACCAACGAAGCCTGTCAACAAATGTACATATATTTCCCGTTCAGGTGTCGCTTTTGGTAATTACATAAAAATATAGTTAAAATGTATCATTAGAGTAGTTAGCGTGTAGTTACTATGTACGGAAATTCATTTAGTGGATATTGTTGTTGACCGTTGTTGCTTAAACCTTATTTTATTAAAAATCCAAAATAGAAGACAATTCCAAATTAACCTGTATTGTTGGAAAGTGATTTATAAACCGGATCAAATTATGAGTTGAGAGCTGAGGGTCAAGCTAGCTTATAATATTCAACCGAATAAAAAACTAAAACTTAAATACCAACATTTCGTCGGCATATTTACGGTATATACTAAAAATGACACGGAACATTTCTGGGGATCAGGCGGAATATTTCATCGATAATGCCGTGGTCACACTGTCCCTAACCCGTAGTAAACAAAACGCAAATTAAGCGCAAATGCAATAAAAAGCGAAAGGCAACAACAAAACCACGCAATATGCCGCCGCAGCAACGATTTGTATAAATTATTGAAAAGTGAACGGTGACCAGCGTTATTACAAGACAAGACGAAGACTCTTTGTGTTCGATGTTGTTTTATATATTTTTTTTTGTGTAAAGAAAATTCTGCGTAGCAAACAAACCGGTCGGCGCTCTTATACATATTATACACACAAACACAAACAAAAACCCGTATATGCACGGGGAAAAAGTGCTTGCAAAGTCGTGGAAATGCATTTCGTGTGACACAAACAGCATTGAGACATTGAATTTATTTAAATATAGTATTTGCTTGCCATATCCATAATTTTTTTGTGCCAAGCAGAAGGCGACGCAAAAGGCGGCCATATGCGACTGCTGCCTCTGCCGACACTTCTGCTGCGGGGATGAAGGTGCAAAGGTGGGGTGCTCTGAAAGCTAAAACTGAAATGTTTGCCGTTCGCGTATTGTAAATTGCTTTTGCAAACACACACACACACACACGCCGATACAGGAACACACAACTCAACTCCCTCTGCCTCTTTAGCTGGAATCGTGTGTTCCACTTTTGATATCCAGAGCAGTGAGCAGTGAGCAGCGACGCCAGCGTACGACGCACTGTCCTGATTTCGTCTGCCACCAGGAGGCAAGTGCAACCAGGACAAACTTCTTTCGTTCGTTCGGGCGGGGCGTGTGCTCTGTGGCCGTGTGCGTGCGGTGTGCGGTGTGCGGCGTGGATGGTCCAAGAGATTCTGGGCCAGGATAATTGCGAAATGCACGGGAGCTGCTCCAGGTAAGCAAATAAAACCCGCTTCCAATTCGACATTTCCCATTAACTGAGTGCAGTGCATCTGCATCTTGTCCCCCCTTCCGCCGCTTTCGCCCCCCGCTCTCGACTCTTGCGTTTCAAGTGGGAAATGGGAAAGCAGCAGCAGTAAACGGACCGGACGGGTCGGGCCACGGCCCCATTTATTGACTTGTCTCTCTCGCTCTCTGTTACTCTTTCTCTCTCTCTCTCTCTCTTTCTCTCGCTGTCCTTGTTTTTCTCTTGTTGACTTCTTTGCTGGCCTCTTGGCTTTTTCCCCCTGCATTTCCACACGCGTCGGCCTTTGCCTTTCTTTCACGTCGTTGCACAGTGGTGCAGAAGATTGGGGAATCGGGAGATAAAAAGGGACTTCTTAAAATATACGTCGATGATTGTTCCAATTGGCAGCTAAGAAATCGACTGAGAGAATATCTGCCAAAACTTTGTTTTGTAAGAATTTCAAATCAAAAAGGCTTGCAAACATCTTTGTCCAAATCGAAATACCCTCTGGAAGGGTATACAAACTATTAGTCTTAATTAATTAAATAAACATTTGTGCATCTATTGATCAGGTTACTAATTTGCTCCACTGTGCGCGCCGGCCTTTGCCTTTCACGTCTGTCATTGCTGCTTCGCTGCTGCGCTGCTGCTGTTTCTTCTTCTTTTGCGTTTTGTATACAAATTATGGTGTTGTTGCTGCTAATGTTGTTGTTTTTGCTGTTGCTGTTGCTGTTCTTGTTTTTACAGTTGTTGTTGCTGTTGCATTTTGTTGCTTTAAGCTTTTATGGGCAGTGCATTCCACTCATTTGTTGTTTTTGGTATAAATATAGACTTTAATTTGCTTTTAGCTTTGTTTTAATTTTCTTTGGTTGTTTTTGTTGGTTAGTTTTTTTTTTTTGCCTACCGCATATGAAAATTGATTACAATTTTCGTCTGCAGTTAATAATTTATTTCCCCTCCATCCCCCCCTCGACCGATCCGCCTACTTCTGGTGTTCTGTGAAGCGTGCAATATGGTAAGAAAAGTGAAAATGTGCAGCCCTTCCCTTTTTTCGCCTTTACTTGTTGTTGGGCGGGTGGGTGGTTGGGTCGGATGGGTGGCAGAGCAGCCCCTTCTTCGGCACCTTATTCTCCTTTTGGCTCCTCCCTCCATTGGCGTCTTGGTAATTCAATTAACGTGTTTAGCATGCCTTTCCTTTGCCTTCGCCCCTTCCCCCCATCGCCCCCATCCCGCCCCTTCGGCTCTCCTCTTGGACTAAACAATTTGTTGACCCATATTTTTGGTATTTCTGTTTTGCTGTTAATTAATATTTGTAATTCTCATGTTTCGTTGAGTGTCGCTTGCGCTTAGCTTCATTTAGTTTCGTTCGTTTTTCCGTTGCTCCGTGCTCGGTGCTCCGTGCTCGGTGCTCGGTGTTCGGTGGCCTGTGATAAGCCCACCCCGCCTCCGCCGCATCCCCCGCCCCGCACTGCTCTGCCGAATGATTTTCATCACAAATGAACAGTTTAGTCGGGCTTTCCAGTTTATAGTTTCATTATCTGTCCCTGATACCAGAGCATGGTTTTGAGTAGTGGGTTCTGGTTCTGAGCCAATCGGCAGGAGGAGGAGGAGGAGCCTCCCACTTTCTTCATCCGTTTGCCCATGTGGCTGGCCACGCTACGTGATGTGATGTGATGTGGTGTGATGTGGTGTGGTGTCCCCATTCCAGCGATCAATAACGTTGACGTTGGGTCTTTTCTCTGAACTGCCATTCAATGGCACTTTTCTAGTTTTCCACTTTGCTTGGCGATTTTTCGCTTTGCTAAGCTGAAATCCGTGCTGCTTCAATGGTGCTTCAGTCGTTGGGATAGCCGAGATCTTCGAGAGAGATCTCCTCACTCTGTTCGCTAGCCCCGTCCCCACTTATCCCCTTGCCCTCCCATCCCATCCCATCCCCAGACAGACAGACTAGAAATTCGAGTCATTAAGCTATTCCTTTGTTTGCTTTCCTTGTCTCTAATTGCCTTTTCGTACGGCTTCTCGGAGCCACACTTTGGCTCGATTAACACTGCGATTAACCGTCCACTTTTTGCCATTTCAGCAGCAGCTCTCCCTTTGGCTCCCCAATGCGTGAGACTTAGATGCTCCAGCGGAGGGACCAGGATTGGGAAGAGTCCAGATGTCGTCGAGCAACGGCGGCATTAACAGTGCCACGAACGGCCGCAGTGGCAGCACCGGCAGTGCCAACATCAGCCTCAATATCAAGGGCACTGCGGCTGGAGGAGCGGCTGCAGCGTCAACAAGTGCCACAACCACGTCAATTACACACAAAACACTGCCGGACCTGAAGACGCAGCGAAGCAACAGCGTCTGCCACAGCCAGGAGACCTACTCCGGCAACAGGAGAGTCGCCCCCACGGAGAAGCCGCCAGAAAAGCCGCTCAGCTATGCCCCAGCCCAGAGTAGGGCCACGGGAAAGGAACCCAAGGATGGTCACTTGGTGTACTGTGAGGGCAAGCTGCACTCGGGCCCGCTGAAGTCGCTCATCACCCACATGGTGCCCACCCACGAGTACTATCCGGACGAGAGCTTCGTGTTTGCCTTCCTGCTGAGTGCCAGGCTCTTTGTGCGGCCGCACGAGCTGTTGGCGCAGATTTCGACAACCTGGGAGCAGCAGCAGGGAGCAGGTGGCGGCTGCGATGTGGTCGACGATGCCGGACAGGTGCTGAACCTCAGCATAAACTCCGCCTCGCCCCTGACCCAGCGAAAGGGAGCAGCAGCGGCGGCGGCAATAGCGACGGCGACGAGTTCGGAGCTGGAGCCAAAGCCGCAGCAGCGGACGAGTACGCAGCGATCGGCCCAGCACTGCATACGGCTGCTCTCGGAGTGGATCGAGATCTTCCCGTACGACTTCAGAGATGAGCGCCTCATGCAGCAGGTGCGCATCCTGGCCAGGAAGTGCGTCTACATCGACAACTCGCTGGGCAAACAGGTCTCTCGCATTCTACAGCTGCTCGTGTCCCGTCTGACGGCCCTGGAGCAGTACGAGGAGTTCCTGCTAACGCTCACCACGGAGGCCAGCGAGCGAGAGGTGGTGGCGGTGGCTTCTGGCCAAAGTCAACACCACCATAATCATCATCATCATCATTTGCATAATCCCTTTCAAACTTTTCTGGGCAGCTCGCACTCGCATGCCAATGGCGTGGGTGGTGGGGGCTCGGCCAGCGGCACCTCCAACTCCTCCTCCAGCGGCAACACCTCCTCCTCCACCTCCAACTCAAACTCGACCACCCCTCAGCCAGACGAAGTCTTTGGCATCATGGACATGTGTCCGAGCTGCGCCCACTTGGCCCACCAATTGACGGCCATCGAACTAGAGCGCCTGTCGCATATTGGTCCCGAGGAGTTTGTCCAGGCGTTTGCCAAGGATTACCCCCAGCAGCAGGCCAAGGATGGCGCAGGCGGAGGCGGTGCCGGCAAGGGTTCGTTGAACGATATGAAAAAGACGCGCAACCTGGAGTCGTATGTGCAGTGGTTCAATCGCCTCAGCTACTTGACAGCCAGCGAGATTGTCAAGGTGGGTAAAGGAGCAGCAGCTGCCGAAGCAGCAGCAGCAGCAGATGGGAGATAATCCCTTTCAGCATATGTCATGTTTGTTATTGCCTCCATCCTTTGCTTGCAGTATCCGAAGAAGAAGCAGCGTGTTCGCATCATCGAGTACTGGATTGAGACGGCCCGTGAGTGCTTCAACATTGGCAACTTCAACAGTCTGATGGCCATAATAGCAGGTCTAAATCTGGCGCCCATAGGCAGACTCAAGAAGACAGTAAGTTAAAAGGGGATATATCCGTATATTTCTGTGTGTATATTGTACGCTCAAACTCTGCTTTGATCCCATCTCATAATTAGTGGTCAAAGGTGCAATCGGCCAAATTCTCAGTGCTGGAACATCAAATGGATCCAACATCAAACTTCAATAGCTATCGCTCGACGCTCAAAGCTGCTATGTGGCGCTCCGAGGGTGCCACAGAGGAACGCGAACGCATAATCATTCCATTCTTTAGTTTATTTGTTAAGGACTTGTACTTTCTAAACGAGGGCTGCTCGAATCGGTGAGTATCAGCGCAATCGTTGCTACCAATTGATCAAGCATCAGCGATTTATAATTTCTCTGTCTCTGTCTCAGGCTGCCAAACAATCATATCAACTTTGAAAAGTGCTCCCAGCTGGCCAAACAAGTGACGGAGTTCAACGAGTGGAAGAAGGTGACCTGTCCCTTCGAGAAGCTGCCGAACGTCATTGCCTATCTGCAGCACAGCGCAGTGCTCAACGAGAACACCCTCTCGATGGCCTCCTTCGAGTGTGAGCCCCCCGAGAACACAGAGGAGAAGGATCGCTACAAAACGGTGAAAGCCGAGACGAAACAACAACTGCTGCAGCAGTTGCAGGAGCAGCAGCACCAGCAGCATCAGCTGCACCAGCACCACCACCAGTCGCAGTAGCCACTATGCAGAGGGGTAGATTAAGCTACGCTTAAGCGCTTGCCATGATTATATTTTTTTTCTACTAGATCCGTAAGATTGGGGATAATTCGTTAGCCTAAGTTGAATGCGATCGATGGAGTTAGACAAACAGGACAGGACTAAGACCCGCCCGAACCAGCCGCAAGCCCTGCTTAGCCCCTCTTTGAGAAAGTAAAGCTTCTGAAGCTATATATTAACCGTTGTCTTGTCAATCCTCTCATAATTGTATCGCCTCACAAAATGAATTTTCAACCACTTTGATGCCCCCCGATGTCCCCTCAATCGAATGAACGAACGAACGCAAAGCATCTCCGCAATGTTGCCAGTAATTTAAATTATTTAACTACTAAGCGAATATTAGTAAAGGCGAATCGAATCGAAGCGAGAAGAACAGAAGAGAACGTATGTACTTAAAGCATTTTATTGCTAACGAACAGCTAATGCAACTAATTTAGTTTCTTAAGAAGTAATTTTTTTATTACACAAAACATTTTTGATGTCATTATTTATGTTCAAAACCATCTGACAAAGTGCCCGTGGGCGCGATATTCGTAAGTGAACAGTATTTATATTTATATATATACACAATTTTATAGCTAAATGAAATCTTTTTTGATATTCTATAACGATTATATCCGACTAGGATCGGATCCGATAGATTGGATGATAGCATGATGCTTTTGTCTCGAGGCTTTTTCATGCTTCAGCAAAATCTCTATCGCAAAGTTAGCAATCGCTGAGCAAAAACATTTTCGTATACATAAGAACAACCACAACGGAAACAACAAGAACAGAAACAGAAAGTACACCTTGTGGTAGCTACAAAAGATGCTTCTTCTTTTTAAGAATTTCATTTTAAACAACGTATTTGCATAATTAAGTAAAATTGTGGATGGATTCATAAATGATATTAACTATAAAGGGACTAAACAAAACATTATTGATTAAAAAACTGCTTTCGAATAAAGAAATGATCAAAAACAATTCTCAAAACAAATTCATCCTAGTTTAATAGCTTACATCAATCTAAGGACCTTTGGAATTTGAATTCCACCGGCCTTTAATTTAGATAGCTTTGTTTCGATAACTAATCGGCAAAGTCCGGTCACACTATTAAATTGGGGCGACACCTGGCGTATTGGTGTCCTGGTTTTTAGTACTTCGATAGCAAAATCGATATATATCGAATTCGAATTACTCGAATTACAATTACCAAAGCGCGCCACATTTAAACAGCGAATTCATAAATTGTTTGATCAAAATTATTTCTTTATTAAAAATGCTAGCTTTTCTTTTTCAAGGGCTGTGTTGAGATATTTGTTCTGCAAGGAAGCAAGGAATCGGTGACAGCTTATATGGCATTTCCGTGAAAATATCCAAAATACTTTTGTCCTGATACCATTTTCTAAATTTATCGTAATTTAACTAATTTAAGCGGGCGGTCGGCTCTATCTAAAAGGACGATCACTTAACGAATGGGCAAAGTTCAGCGAACTCCCGTCCTACGCATCAGTGGAGCTCTCCGGATCACCCCAAATGATGCCCAATTGCCAGTATATGCCATCCATTTTAAGGAAAAACCATATAATCCAAGGGAGTAAAGAGATATCCTTTTCGAAATAATCTTCCATAGAGGGACCACCAGGGCCAGATGGGGCCCTAAACTAAATCTTTGTAGATGAATTGAAGCTGGAAAAGCTAAACAGAAGGCACTTCTTTAGATTTCTTTTAGGCGAAAGTCAGAGAAATCAGGGAAGCTTTGAGTTGTCTTCAAGCGGTTTCCGTTACGACATCAAATCACAAAATGCGATTTCCTCGATTTCCACCAAATGGCTCAGAAATTTGTTGTTAGCCTTATATGGGTCTCGGGCACCCAACTGGCCAGATCTGGCACATCATAAAAGAGCAATTCAAGCGACTAACAGACAATATGTGGCAATTAGTGCAACGATGTCGCATAGCTCGGCAAACATGGCCAAACATCACAAAGAAGCGCACAATTGAGCTCTGCAAGCTCAGCTGAAAAAGGTGCAGCGCAGTCATACGTTGCCTCACGGAATGGGTGCCCCTACAATGATTTTTGCCGCAGCTGTGCAGACAAGGAAGAGATGGAGTTTTATATCTAATAACTTGGAAAATTACCACTGAATATTTCATTTGTACAAAAAGTATAACACAGTTAGTTCCTCTCAATTCTCAGAGTTGAGTTTTGCAATTTTGTACACCCACCTTAAAAACCACTTTTGGTTTTGGTAACGTAACGTCAGGTCATATTTTGGCTTACACAAATCTTTAAAACCGTACTTGCGATTGTTGTTATTTTTTGGCGAATAGGGAGGTAAGTGAAACGTAACGTCAAAATGGAAATGCACATATGATATATCTACTCATCTAAATTATACTCCACAAAAATTTATCTGGAACAACAAACACTATTAGAAGATTGAGATTAGCTTTCATTTTCTAAAATCAGCTTCAAGAAGTGCATTTGTTTTGAATTTTCGTGAGTTTTTAGCGGCAACAACAATCAAAATTCGTTCACAATTGGTATTTATTTTAGGTGAGGTCATCCCTCTCTTGGACGATAGCAAGCATAGCAATTATGTCCCTTCTGAAGACGGCTCTGAGCAGTCCCTAACTTTTGCTTCATATACCATGCAAACTTCTTTGCGTCGACGCGTGACGCAAAGAGAGGCAGCTTTTGGTACCCAAAGAGCCGGCTGGTGGCCATACCTAATATAGTTATACCCTGCATGCGCAGAAACGAACGGTTCTTTCGGCGACGCCATTACAGCTGTTATTGGAACTCGCGAAAGTCTCGTACCGGATGAAATATTGAACTCCAATCGAGAGCACAGTCAGATCAAATCGGGATATAGTGCCGGAAGGTGGGCCGGCAGGATTCTCCAGTGAAATTTGTTTATCTCCGTATGGTAGATCCGCTTTGAAAACGCGACATTCGCGTGACAAGAACCTGTTGTTGTTGCTGCGCTTTCGATAAGTGTTCTAGCGGTAAATTTTAGGCGGAAAAATCGATTGTTCTCGTTTGATTGTTTTTGTTTTGGTGCACGGCTTCGTTACGCGATTCCTGCAGTCCCCCCGCTCGGCCACCGACACGGCCACATGACTCATGCACGGCTGCAACAATGAAAAGCCACAATAAGTACGCCAAGTTGCCCCAAGACCTCGACTTGAGTTTCCAAAGCGATCTGGACCTGCTGCCGGACACAGCGGCCGACATCGATCTCGACATAGATGTGGACGTGGATGCCCTCAATCTGAGCTCGCCCGCCGCTCTGGACCTCCTCGACGACGACGAGGACGACGAGATTGTAATTGCCACTGGTGTAGGCGGCGGCGGCGGCGGCGGCGGAGGCGGCGCCAGTGACGGTGGTGGCAAGGGCGGCCTGCGTCTAGCACCAAAAACCAAGCAGCGTAAAAACCCATTGGAACAGCAAAAGTTCCACAGCAAGAACAAAATCTGCGGCCTTGGCAGCGACAGTATTATCGAGGTGAGTCACAAATGTCGATGGAACTGCATTTGTTATCACAGTTCACGGTTTTCTCTTCTACCGCTCTGTGCGCTCTGTGGCTCGGTGCGGTCCCCCACAAAAGTCGCGCGATGCGAGTGTGCAACTTGTGGCTGGCTGATTCAACCCTTGTCTGAGGCCCAGACGCATTCCTTTTCCCCGAATATACTCGTACCTTGGCGAAATCCTAAAAATGGGCTCACAACGACATGCCAAACAACAAAGCAAAACAAAGCAAAATACAACTCTAGAAAAAAACCAACAAAGGGGTCCGAATGTTTAGATACTCTTGAAATTTATTATTTCTCATTATTATTACTCATCATTTTGTGATGCACGTGTCCGATTTTGATACGTACATATAACAACTGTAGTAGGAGATAAAGAACATACATATACATATATTTTCTTGCGGCTAGTTTATCTTTTTTGTTCGCTACAAACAGAGTGAAGAGTATGGCAGCAAAAAATTGATTAATGTTAATAAATTGCGCAAAATACTACATCTAGTAGATCATACTTCCGATTTCTAGTATATCTTCTATAAGACAGCCATTAAAGGAGAGTTTCTAATACATATTTCATACAAATTGTTATACTTTTTTATAGATTTACAAATTTGCTGATTCTTATGAATGATTTTAGGCGAAAATTCAGACAGGCAAATGATCGTTGCCACAGTTGCCTTGCTCAGTGCACTATGAATTTAGTAATAAGGTGACATTGTCACCATATCTTCTCTCTTTCGAGGACCATCCGCCTGTCAGTAGGTATGCAAACGTGCAGAAGGTAAAACGTTCGCTCTTGTATCGCTTGTCTCTCTGAGAGCCAAAAGAGCGTGGATGGTCCTCACCACAGCGGACGGCGTCACCTTGTTACTAAAGTTATTATTCAGAAAAAATCATGATTAAATTATTCAATAAATAACCGCGAAAGTGTCAATCGTTATTTGAGAGGCCTGATATTTGTTTTTACTCGTATTCATATTTATTCATATATTATGGGGGGAGCTATATTTTTAGCTATCCAAACAACTGGAAAAAACAAATATACCCTCTGCAAGGGGTATACTCGTATCAAAGCAACATTCCTACAAAAACAAAACATGCTGGGACTGGGGGTCGGCAATAGAAGCGGATTCAGGAACAAAAAAAATCGATAAGCAACAAAGAAATATCTTTCCGTTTGTGGCAGCAACGAAAAGACAACCCCTCGCCCCTCTCCCCGCTCTCTTCTCCATACCACCTGGGCCAAAGGTTTTTCTCAAACAAATCCCTGTTAACTTTTAATCGCAGACAGAGGCGGGACTGGGGGCACTGTGGGAAACACCACCAAGTACATAAGTAATTCCAAATGTCACGCAATTGCAGAAGCTAGGGGAAAAGCCAAGAAAAGTGCCGGGAAAAGTGGGTGGACAGATTTAGCCAGCGAAAATGTCCGTGATGTTAATGCGGTCCGATATTAATGGAATTTGTGTTGACAAAGTCGAGTCATCGTTACCGCGAGGTGCCGTAATGATGTTCCCTTGCACCCCCCGCCCCCCATAATGTTTGCCCTGCCGCAGATGAAGATAAGCTGCCTTTTCTCTCGTTTTTTCTTTGCTGTTTCTACCGACCAAGTCATCAATTTTCCTTGCCTTAGATTATCTTTCAAGTGGATAAAACGGCGAGCCGAACGCTCTAGATACGACACGGAGCAGTCCCCCGGAAAATCAATCAAAAAATCTATAATTTCCGCCCGGCCACAACTCGTTACGAGTTGTATACGAGTATAAATAATTGAGTTTATTTGATGGAAAGTGGCGGTGACCTACACACTGGGTCCCCACTGTACCCACTCCACCGCACCGCACCGAAAGCTAGACGCGTGCCTCAATCGATAATGCGTCAGACCCGTGTCAATCATAACGTATTCCACACTCCCACTCCCACTGCCTCTGCCACTCCTCTTTCCTGGCACTACCGTTAATTGTGTCACCAGCGCCCTCTATCGGTTGCACTGGTCAGTCATATTGCGTGCCACTTTGCGTCCAGTTGCCGTGCGCCCCCATCTGTCCGGGGGGGCGATGTCCAGCGATTGAATTGTTGTACTTACTGCTGCCCCGACCCTTGGTCGGAAAAGCTTTGACAAGCTTGTCAATCTCATTGGGGCTTACGAATATTCTGCGTGCGTGGACAAAGCGGTGAAAAAGTAACATTTGCTGCATTGGGGAGGGACTCGACGGGTGCGATACCCAGCATTAGGCAGAATGACCACCCCCCAGCCCCACCCAACATACCCGTGTGGTGTGCTGCGATTACAAGGTATTCTGAATAACAGAACCGCATGTGTGTCCACATCCACGTCCACGTCCACAGGGGATTACACGGATGCCATCTCGTCCATCCGGTCGCTGCAATTAGCGGTTGTAATAAGCATACCCTATGCAGGAGGGCATTGCGATTTTAGACGAACAACATTTCCGCAACACTTTTATATTTGATGTCTTGTTTTTTTCTTCCTAAAGATAGTCCAAGCTGTAGTCTATTTTATTTTTGTATATTCCACTTGGCGCAGCATTTGCCAGGGTATCTAAGGCTTCGGTGCCCGAAGAGTGTTTTTCTTTCAGGGTTTTTTTTTCTTTCGTTAAGCCTATTCCGAAAACTGTTTCCACATCTGCCTCCCCGCGGTCAGTGCCAGCGTTGGTGGCGTGGCTCACTCGTTCCTAATAAATAGCCCTGGACTTTAATTAGGCGTAATGGAAAAAGGCTTTAATGGGGCTATGATTAGGCATAAATTATTCTTAGTATATGTGCCTGGTACAGACTAGCGGTAAATGATCCTGCCGTGCTGGTAATCCTTCCAGCACTTGGACCACCTGGGACAGTCCGGGGCCACGATGCCTGCAAGCAATGGATCATTTGACACACTGAGGCATTGAACTCTATCGATCGCACTCACCTGCAGCCATGGCCAGAGAAATCACAAAGAGGAGAATCGCTGCCTTAATCTTCATCGTTTCGCACTCGCCAAATGCCAGAATGCAACTGATGAGGCGACAGTCTGTAATCGCATAGAGAATGGGCGGGCGGGCAGACAGACGGTTATCGCTGGGGAACTCCGACACTGCGGTTATCTTTTCACGTTTTCCATGCCTGTGTATGGAATCTGGTTGCCAGTGAAAAGTTTCCCCAATCCCCAATGCCCAATCGACAGATCAAATCCCAATCACAATCCAAATCCAAATCCCAGCAACGCAATTTCAGCAGAGACCGGGTTGGGGGCGACTCTTGACCTGCCCACCAGTGTCCGTTATCAGTCGATTCAGGCTGCGATTACCGTGTGTTCCATGCACTATGCACTCTGCACTATGCACTGTGTTTTGTGTTCCAGTTCTCCTTCTGGCCAACTCGGATGTCTCCATTCAGAATGTGTGTATCTTTCAGGGCACTTTGGCTTGGTTCATTTGGGTCTCCTCCCCTTTGCACTCCTCTCACCTTTCGCAACCAATTAATGTGTGTGTTTGTGTGTGTGCCTGTGTGCAAGTGCACCTCATTACGAGTACGACCTGCTCGCAATCTAACCTACATTTGTGGCAACGAGTCGTCGTTGTAGTTGTAGCTGTAGTTGCAGTTGCTGTTGCTGTTGCACGCAGTTGCATACGCCATGTGGTACGTGCTAAGCTCCATTTTGGGGCCAAGTCGTTTGCTGTTGTTTTATTTTCGCTGTGGCGTCTGTTTATTTTCAGTATACGGGCACACAATGAATGGCACAGCAACGAAGGCGGCACAGAGCGGAGGACGTGTCTGGTCCTTTGTGGCACTGGTGGCACTGGTGGCACTGGATAGGCGGATAGGCGTTTGGGCTGTTCGGGGCGCGGCGTCACTCTGTTGCATGCCTTTCTTTCTCTCTCCTTTGTGGCACTGGCTTTTCGCTATTGTTGCTTTTGTGACATGCAAATTTATGCATAAAGTGCTGTTGCACAAAATGAATTTATAACACGGCCAAGGAAATTTATCATCCAGCCAGCTTACATGGCCAGCCTCTCTCATTTACCATCTACCACCAAGCATATACCAGAGCCCGGAGCAGGGCAGGGGCAGTGGCAGTGGCCCGAGCAGGGGCATCACAGGAATGGAGGAAGCTGCAAAGTGACGGGCGGCATTTAAGAGCATTTATTATAATCATAAAGTACAAAACTGCATTATTATGCATTGTCGTTACCCAGTGCGTGCCACCAGGCAGGAAAGGCAGAAATGGTCTCTGGCTCTTGAGCGCCGGAAGTTGGCTCCAACTCTTCCTCCTCCTCCTCCTCATCCTCCTCCGATTCTGCTCCACATTTCCATAATTTCCATAATTTGAATGGAGCGACAATGGGGCAAACTTTTGGCACACAACTCGATGAAGATTTCAAGTATCGATGGATCATGGCTCCATCGATGGGGTACCTCTGGTATCTCTGGATGCCCGGATGCCCCGATGGTTGGATATCTCATCTCGGCCGCATCGCTGGCATGGTCTCCGTGCCGCATAATTAGAAAGTTAAGAACTTGTTTTTGTGCTGCATTCCGCATTTACTTGGGCAAATATAATTTGCACTTTTAATTGGCCGTAAAAGAGCGGGAGGACAGAGAGTGGCAGGGCAGGGCAGGGCAGGGGAGGAAAGGGAACGGGGCAGCGACTCCAAACTTTCTCCTGCACATCCTCGTAATTTTATGCTCTGCCACAACTGCTCCGCAGTTCTGCTGCTCCGCTGCTCCGCTGCTCTGCTGCGTGTGTGGTGCAATTGTTGTCATAAATGTTGGCGTTAAAATTTGCATTTTATTCGTGGCTCATAATAATGCTACCCCCTACCAGTACCCCTCCCCCTCTGCCTACCCTTGCCCCCGTTCCCACATAAACCTGACATCAAAATGCTTTTAGGTGCTTTCCCCCTTTTTCCGGTTTTTTTTTTCGGTTACGGTTTGTGTGCATTTTATAAACTTTCTGGGATTGGCGCACCCTCCTCCCACAGGACAATCAGTATACAGAAACTCAAATGTCGGAATATTTTGCTTATCGCCATTCGGACTCATCTTTTTTTTGGCTTTGTTTTATTGTCATTTCATAATTGCATCTCATTCTGCCCCAGAGGCAGGAACTTCACATTTCGCTCTGATCTCTGGCATATTCTCTGACACATTATCTGATTCAGATTGTGACTCTGACTCTGATGGGAATGGAATCGTGCTACCCTTGAATACATATTGTTAACCCTTTCCCACTCGTACCCGTACTCGTACCCGTACTACCTTTCCGCAAAACTTTAAATGCTCACAGTTTTCGGTGGCCTTTACCGCAAAAATGTTGTGCGAGCCACAAACTTTTTGCAAATTGAATTAATTGCGTGCAAAATGGCAAAAATAAGAAAAAACGAACGTAGAGAGCATAAAGCCACTAACTGTCGGTTGGATGTCCTTCCTTTTCCTTTCCTTGCCTTTCCTTTTCCCTTGCCTTTGCCACTTCCCTTTGGGGCAATCCTTTGAAAAGTTGTAGAAAAATAGCTACCAGGAGGGCCTGGTGGAAAACCATTTTTGAGGGAAATTATAACGAATGAAAGCCGCAGAGCGGAACGAGCAGAGAGCCCCGATTTCGAGAGTATTAGCATAACATCAGCAGCGGAAACAGAAGAACCTGAAACTGAACTGAACTGAAACCAAAGTTGGGCTCTAAATAATTTCATATCCGCATAAACAGAAATATATATTTTAAACGATGCTGTCTTGGATGCAGAACCCGCTAAAGGAGCACGACTGGGGGACTGAGAGACTGGGGGACTGGGAGCAATCATAGACAGCACAATCAACAGGAAGTGGATGCTTCGGTAGCTCCTCACGTGTGTCCTTAGTGTGTGCTAGGGCAAAGAGCGCCACTTCCGCTCTACTCGGCAGCCCGATAAAGGATTCCGGAAAAAACTCTCGTCAGTCCTAAGCAACTTGCAACTGTGCCTGACTCCTGACTCCTGCCTCCTGCCTCCTGCCTCCTGCCTGTGGCCTCTGTCTCTGCCTCTGCCCCCGCTCCTGCCTCTGGCTTGTAAACATGCAAAAATTGACAATTTAGGGCCCACAACAAAGGAACGGAGGAGCGGAGTCAGCGGGGCGCAGACGGCAGACGGCTGGGAGTCATAACGGGGACGAGGTGACAAAGAACGGGCGAAAAATCTCAGCCCACAAAACGAGCCCGCGGGGAGGCGGCGGCAATTGGGCACACAGCAGGGACAGGACCCCCGAAACGGCAGCCTCCGCTTTATGGGCTGCCCGTGTTGTTTCTTGTGGCACGCAGTTTGTGGCATATTTCGACAGAGCAGCGCATCAGCGCAGCTCAAACAAATTTAATTTTCTCACTTTTTGTATTGACATTCCGCTGCAAAAAAAAAAAAGAAAAGTAAAAGAAGATAACCGAAGCGAACCCCATTCGGTGGTAGCATACTTACAGGCGGGCGAATAAATACTAACAGTGGCTGCAAAAAATGTTTGAATTCCGAATAAATGTTGAGAGTTTGCTTAACAGGAAATTGGGAAAATATTAAAACGTAAACACACACACACAGCGATTTTTTCATTCAGTTAATGGATAGTTTGTTTTCCATCGCAGCCGAGAGTGCGGGGATTTATTTAATTAATGCAACATGTTGGATTGATTTGCATCCGCGCTGTGCAGTACTTTAATGGGGGAGTCCTGCTTCCTTCACTCACTGAGTCCGGGATCGAGTGTGTACACACTGGGATTTTTCTTTGCCTCGCAGCCAAAAGTTTTGGGGATTTATTTAAAATTTTCGCATGCAACACGTACGTGGAATTTGTGTGCCTTTGGGATTGATGCGAGTCCGTTTTTCTACACTAATTGAAGCACCACTCGCAGGACTCGGAGTGGCATTGAATGCGGAGTACAGTTGTGTCGGGAGTGTCTGCCAATCGGGCGGGGTAGGGTAGGGTCGTAGTCGTAGTCGTAGCCTGTATGCAAATGTGGTCACACTGCTTGAGTGGAGTGCGAGCAATAACTGTAATTCACTCGCCTCGAGCGGCACTTGCAGCAAATGGCAGTAGGAAATGGTCTTTCTGCCAGGCAACTGGACCGGGGGGCAGGCCTGCTGGGTGGCAGGGCGGCAGGGTGGCAAGGCGGCAGCTGCAAGTGTCACTTTGAAGAGATCAGAGTTTCAGTAAACATTTTTCTGTTGACAGTTTTAATGATTTCCAGAGACGGGGCACAGCAGACACACTGAAGAGCACTAAAAGGAAATACATAATACATTTTTCACATACCAATCCAATTTTCATACTTTTGACATCAGTGAAAACGTGAGCTGGCAAGAAGGACGCGGGGGTCTGGGGGCTGCCAAGTCATCCTCCACATTGTTATGACAAGCTGAAATAATTTTGATTGACATTTGGGTAGGGGGCAAAGAACCAAAAGGGGGGGGATAGAATAGAGCATGGAGCATGGAGCAGGCTAATGGAAAATTAATAGTTGCTAAGTAAAATGTAAGCATCGTCCAGGACAGTATCCCGGCCGGCCTCGTCCTGGGTCCGGGCCCAGAGCAAATTGGATCTGTCGTGGAGGAGGAGCAGGAGGGGGGGGGGCGGGGGCGAGCAAGTGCAATTGTTGGAGGTGAAAAATGACTGAAGCTTCTTTGGCCTGTCTTGTCGTGTCCTGCGTCCTGCGTCCCGTGTCTGGGCCTGTACTGTCCTTTCCTGTCGCCTGCTGCTGTCCATTTGGCCAAGACGTTTGCTCTGGTTGTCCTTGCCAAAGGACATTAGCAGCATGTTGCTTTCGCACTATTTTCCTCGCCTTTGTTTGCTCGTCTGCCCGTAAGCGGATTATGCACTTTAAATTATTTGCCAGCCACTTTGTCGCCGTGGCAGGACTCTTTGCTGTCCGCGTGTCCGCCTGTCCGCCAGCACTCCAACAGCTCCATCTTTATCTCGAAACTGAACAAACCCGACGCGAAATGACGCGTTAAAGCTTATAAGCATGACCAAACCCAACCAAACCAAACCAAATTTGAATG